AAAAATTGGAATGTTTAAGGACTTATTTAATATATTTTGGAATGTCCAAGGACTTATTTGTGCCAAAAAATTGTCCAAGGACTTATTTAACATGTTTTGGAAAGTTCAAGGACTTATTTGTTCCAAAAAAAAGTTCAAGGACTTAATCATTCCAAACAAGAAAGTTTATTGGTTTTTATTGTACTTTTCCCTTAAAAAAGAAACCAACCAGAATGACATGACATTATGAGATTTGAGTATTCCTCAAATCTTGAAATGTGGTTAAATTTGTTTATCCCACATTGGTGGGAAGAAAAAAAGTAGAATGAATGATATGTGTGTGTGTATATATATATATATATATAAAGATGAGGTGATGTTTTTTGTTGCAAGTCATGATGTTGGCTCAAATGAGTCAGCTATTTTATTTGCAATTGTCATTATGAGATTTGAGTATTTTTCTTAAATCTTAAAATGTTGGTTAAGTTTGTTTATATCATATAAAAAGATAACTTTAAAATATTAAAATGACATCTTGTGAGTGGTGTATTTTTAAAATCTTATGTTGTGGTTGGTTTTTGGAAATCTCACATTGATGAACAAATGATACATTGATAGACAGTGGCGGATCCAGAAAATTAATGAGGTGGGGGCACGTTGGACGGGACTTGGGAAAGGAAGCATATGGCCATATGAGACTGGGGGGAAACCATGTAAGACGATGATGAAAATAGAAAATTAAGCTAGTCACAAAGATTTTTGGTTTTTGGTTTTTGATTGGGGCCTTTCCCCCGGTGCTTAAAGACTGGATCCGCCCCTGTTGATAGAGTGTGATAGGTATATATATAAAATAAGTATGTACATGGTTCAAAAATTAAAAAAATAATATAAATATGTGAGCTATTGTTTGACCTCTAATTTTGGAGTGATAGTTTTTTTATTATCAAAGAACAACATCGGAGTTGAGGTGACATTATATAATTTGTGGCAACTTAGGATGTTGACTCATTTTGATCAATCCTCTAAACTTGTGTTGTTAACTCATTTTAGCCAACCCTCCGAACTGATGAGCTTACTCATTTTGGCCAACCTCATTTTAGCAAAAAGAAATTAATCATACAAAAAAAAACTCTTATCTTTATGTATATTAAAATAAATCGCGCAAAGAATGAAGTGATATTAAATGAAAAATAGAGAGGTATTGAGCTGACATTACGAAAATGAAGTATTTCCAAATAGTGAACTGTCGTTCAGTTTTAGATATCTCACTTGGTGAAAATTTGAAATAATATAATAAAGAGACATGTATAAGAATGAAGGATGAGATGGTAATTGTGTCAACTAATGAGGTTTGACTCATGAGTTGTCTTATTTTTATGGCCATATTTTTGCAAAACAACGTTTATTATATAAAACAAATCTTATTAAAAGATCTACCAAGTATTGTAAGGTGACATTACAAGACTTGAGTATTCTCAAATATTGAAATGTGGTGTATTTTGATTATTCCATGTTGGTAGGAAAATGGTAGATTGGAAAAAAAATATGACTTTGAAATCTATAGTCGTGGGTTGGAATCAAAACCAATTACAACCAAACGATAAAAAATATAGTTATGAAAAACCATGGTTGAAATATATCAAAGTCAATCAAATGGTAAAACTTATAATTATGAAATATTTTTCTACATGTATACAAAAGTATGAAAGATGTCTTTCAAATGTATAGGCATGGTTGAAATCAAAACTATTTCCATCCAAACAATAAAAATTATAGTAATGAACAACCATGGTTGAAATCAAAGTCAACCAAATGGCAAAACAAATTAGTAGTTTTTATATTTATGAAAACTCATGGTTGAAATCTATCAAAGCCAATCAAATGGTAAAACTTATAGTTATTTAAATATTTTTCTACATGTATACAAAAGTATAAAAGATGTCTTTCAAATATATAGTCATGATTGAAATCAAAATCATTTCCATCCAAACAATGAAAATTATAGTAATAAAAAACCATGGTTGAAATCAAAGTCAACCAGATGGCAAAACCAACTAGATTAAAACTTACAAGGGATAAGGTGACATTCTAAGGAGTGAGTATTCTTCATTTCTTGAACTATGGTTGAGTTCTATATATCCCACATTGATGGATATACGAAAGATTTACAATGAATGGTGGTTATAAGAAGGGAGATTGAGATGTCTTTGTGGCAACTCATGAGCTTGCCTCCTCCTGACCGATCCTCTAAACTCATGTTTTTGGCTTATTTTGTTCGATCCTCCGAGCTCATGGGTTGACTCATTTTGGTCAACCCATTTTTAGCAAAAAAATGTTAACCATACAAAATAAATTGGCTAAAATATAATTTTTGACCGACCCTTCTTTTGGCAAAAAAAATACACACACAAATTCTTTAATTAGATACAAAATGGCATAATGTTGATAAATATCATTAGTTAAAATTATAGCTTATAATGTGCTTTTTGGAGGAATCTTTCTATGTAAAGATTTATATCTATATATGTATACGTAAAATAAAGATCGTAATGCATGTAGTATTATGAGATCTAAGTATTAAAAATATTCAATTGTGGTGTTGTGGTATTGTTTTCGTTATTCATATTGATGGAGGAAATGATAGATTGAAGGTCATTATATAATAAAAGAAAAATAGTAGATGTATAAAATATATTATAATATTTGAATTGTGGTATTGTTTATGTTACCTCACATTATGGATCACATAAGAGATTGGAGAATGATTACAAATATATGAAATGAGAAAATACACATTTGAAAATTAAAATGGTTATTTGGCTAAAGTATGCATTCGATTCTATCTTATGGAAAAGTCGATATAAAAATAAATTTTAATTGAATATTTATGAATAAAAACGAAGATGGTAGAAGTTTGAATTTTATAACAAGATTTGAGTAGTTAAATTTTTTGAATTATAATGTTATTTTGATTATCTAACTTTGTACATTTATTTAAAATATTCATTAAAGTCAAATGTCATATTATTTTTACATAAATTTATATCATTGCGCAACACGCAATATCGAACACTAGTTGTAGAAAACAGTTGATGCCTCCCCCAACATAACCCCTTATTTTGTAGGTGTTGATCATTGGTTTTTCCAATGAGGATGAGCAACATATATGTATAGTTAGAGATGGGATCAAATTAAGGGTCACGAGGATTGCAGGTCATAGCGCTACAAGTCGGGGAGTATTGATCCATGTGTGCTTGCTAGTAGAGGTAGCCAATGGGCCATGGGAGTGTTCCAACATGCTACGGGGAATAAGAAAAGGGATGTGTTTATTGTGTTAATTTTGTTAATCATTTTGAATCAATGACAATCCATCTTATATATGGGTGCATATTCATCTTATAATATAATGACAAGGGTAAATATGTAATTTTCTTTTTTATATAATTCTCATATCATTTATTGGGAGTTACAAAATCAAAAATCTCATTATGTTTGTTAATTTATTATTGATCTTGTTTTTTTTTAATATTGATTTTTCTATCTATAATATTTTTGAATTTGTGATTGGTAGAGGAGACCCGGTAGTAAAGTTTTTTGTATCATTCAAGCTATTATAGATAAACTCATTGTTCATAATGAAAGAACTATTGTTCACAAGTATTCATATGTACACTAGTTGAATATCTCAACATTGTCTCGCTCTTGAATGTGTTCATAACGAAAGAACTATTGTTCACAAGTTGTTCATATTGTGTTCATATGTACACTAGTTGCATATCTCAACATTGGTTCGCCCTGAATGTGTTCATAATGAAGGAACTATTGTTCACAAGTGTTCATATTGTGTTCATATGTACACTAGTTGCATATCTCAACATTGGCTCGCTCCTGAATGTGTTCATAATGAAGGAACTATTGTTCACAAGTGTTCATATTGTGTTCATATGTACACTAACTACATATCTCAACATTGGATCGCTCCTAAATGTGTTCATAATGAATGAATTATTGTTCACAAGCTATTCATGTTGGTCATGCATCTTTAGTTGGTCTTACAAGTTTGAGACCAGAAGCTCTAGAGAGGCTCTGGTTGGCTTGCCTCTAGATTCATTTTACTTTTGGTTAATGACCAGAAGCCCATGTTGATCATGCTTTGTGTTAATATTGCTTCAAGTTGGCCCAAGCTTCTAGGAGCCACTATACACGTGCTTACCTACTTTATGAAAGAAGACTGTTCACATACGGCCAAAAGCCTGCCATACCTGAACAAAGGGCAACCTTTTTTCCAAAAGCTTGACACGTGCCTTGTAGCTTCTGAATTGCATTTAATGCAATTGATATAAATAGCTGAGTGGTTCCCCTCTCAGTTATCATCTTCCTCACTAAGAACTTTCCCAAGAAGCTACTTCTCTCACTACTTTTTGTCTAAGAGAAAGAACCACTTTAACAAGTGAAGAGCACATTTATTCATATCTTATATCTTGCAATAAATGCTATTAATAATCTTGTATGTATCTTGGAATGTTTAGATAGGTTCTATATCCTATCTCTTTTGTAAACAATCTGTAAAATTTGTATTGATCTTCTTATCAATATATAATTTTTTAAAGTGAAATTTTCTGTGTTTGTATTCACCCCCTGCTACAAACTGTTATCTATAAACTCTTGTAGATCAGACTCGGACCAACAGTTAAGTCCTTGAGAAAATATTCCAATCTTTGGTGGAGGACCAGAGAGGCTCTAGTTGACCTTCATGTTTTAACCAGAGGGCCTCTGGTTATATTTAAAATCTATTTTATTTCAAGTATAACTCATTTTCTTAGTTTCTATAAGCTCTGGTTAGGCAGACTAGAGGCTCTGGTTGGTCATGCATCTGGTCTTAAAAGTTTGAGACCAGAAGCTCTGGTTGGTAAGACCACATGCTCTAGTCATCGAGAGGGGCTCTGGTTGGCTTGCCTCTAAATTCGTTTTACTTCTGGTTGATGACTAGAAGCCGAGGTTGATCATGCCTTGTGTTAATATTTGCTTCGAGTTGGCTCAAACTTCTAGTTAGGCTTTAGTGGCCTTGTTTAAGCGGGCTTTGCTCTGGTTGGTAGACCAGAGGAGCTCTGGATGGTCTTGCACAAAGTGATGTGAGGAATTGAGAATCTCACACAATGTAATGCGAGGAACTGGGTGGTCACGCTCTATGTGATGCAAGAAAGTTTTATAAATTCATACTTGATGCGATAAGATTTAAAATGGGATAAGTTTCAAGATATTAGATATTTGAATACAATACTTGAGTTATGTTATGTTGAATGGTTATATAATATGTTTGTATAATTAAAAATATGATTTTATAATATGTTTTGGTGGTTTCACTCTGTAATTGCATAAAAAAAGATTTCTCACTATACCTCAAGGTCTAACCCTTATTTTGTATTTCAAAAATGTGCATTGCAAGTCAGGTATTATCAAGGGACAATGGAAAAGGGAAAATGTGAATTTTCCTTGTGTGCTTACATAGATTACAAAGAAGAACATGTTATCTGTTGATTTTGGAATACTTGTTATATAAGCACATGATGTACTAGGATGTTATGAACAAATTTGTTAGCTACTTTTGTAATGTAGTTTGTTATACCTTTTTGGGACCGAATACGTACTATTGTGTTTCTCGTTAAATGAAATACATGGTTATATGCAAATGTGGATCTTGGGGTGTTACAATGTAATAATTTATAAAAGTGTAAAATTTAAAGTTAAAAATGTAAAAACACAAAAGTTAAAAAATAAAAAACTAAAAATTTAATTCATTTTTTTAAAAATAACGCCTTGTAAAAAAAGTACGCCACGACACGACTCAAGACACCATGTATTGATCACGCGTTACAAAAATGTTATAGGTCTTTCATAACAAGGTAGACGCGTCTTGTAACCGAGAAAAGTATAATTCTTTCACCGACGGCCAGACCAGTCGAAGGGAAATTCCTCTGTCTTCTTTGAATAAGGAGAAAGCATGTCAGGATTCAAAAATCATGTCATGCCACCTTTTTGAACATAGGCTTTTGGTTGCGTTTGGTACATGAGATATGACAGGACGGGACAGGACGGAACAAAACTCACTGTCCCACGTTTGGCATGACACGAGATAGGACAAGAACTCACTGTCTCACATTTGATGCGACATGGGAAAAGGACAAGAATTGCGACAATGTGGGACAGTGTGGGACCAAAAAGGATTTTTCTTGTTCCACCAAAATAGGTGGAACAACATGGGACAAGAATGAGATAAAAACTAAAATATTACTAACTAACCCTCGTTTGATATATAATCTTAACATGATATTTGTTTTAGTGGTCAACACCGCTAGTTGTGGCCCCCACCACCACTGGGAGCCGCTGTCGGCGACCTCTCCTCCTCCACCACCTCTACAACCACCATCGACTACCACCGTCTATCACCACCTTTACAACCATCATTGGCCGCCTACCACCACCATCGATCGCTACTACCACTGTTGGCCACCTCTACCTTCTCTTCTATTACAACCACCTCCTCCACCACCTCCACAACCATTGTCATCTACTAACCACCATCGTCTATTGCCACCACCACTACTACCGTTGGCCACCTCCACCTTCTCTTCTACTACAACCTCTTCCACCACCTCCACAACCATCGTCGTCCACTGACCACCATCGTCCATTGCCGCCACCACCACCACCACATCAAAATCATATCAAATCATAATATAACATCGACTGAGACAAAAAAATAAAACATTAAAATTGAAATGTATCTCGTTATATTGTACGGGTATCATTTAAGAATGTTTAAATAAATAACAACGTTCAAAATATGTTTTTCTTTTCTATCCAAAACCGTCGTCCAACCTCTTTGTGATATATCATATGCAAAAATATTTACAACGTAACTTGAAAAGCCGTTGGACGGTTGAGATTTGTTGCCATCAAAACCCTAACATCAAACATTGTGTAGCCGCACACATGTAATCCCACCAACTTCGATTTTCCAAAACTACCCCTCTCACAAAACTAAATGCAATCGCGCCTTTTCATTTTCCACACATCTTTTTGGCGGGTGTCCAAATGCATTTAGATAAAGGGCATTTTCGTCATTTCAACTATCGCGCCCCCTAGGGTTTTCCAGACCTTAAAATTTTCTTTTCGTTTTTATTTGCCGCTACTACTTCTTCGGCTCCTTCCACTCTTTTCTTTCACTGTCGGTCCTCTCTCTCTCTCTCTCTGCGCCTCTTTGTTGCATGTAGGTTTTCTTCCATTGCAGCTTAGCCTTCTTCAGATCATAAGTGTTGGTTTTCGTTTAGTGATTCTGGTTTCTGCTAGCTGATTTTGTTGTTCTTTGATCACCTTGTGTAATTCGTCTGTTTTTCTCGATTCGTGTGGGAACGATCTCACTTTTGATCTCTTTGTGTTTAGTTTTTTTTTAAACGAAATCACTTCTCTACTGTGGTGTTGTCTTCTTGTGTGATCAGTCGTTTTATGATCTGGTTCCCGTCTGTAGTTTGAAGAAATCAGCTTCGATCTCTGTGATCACTTTGATTTCTAGCTTGATCAAGATAAAGAGAAAGGAGGTTTTGATCGGTTAAATTAAGTTTAGGGGTTTTGATTGATTCGATAATGGTGGATCTCAGTGATAAGGTGAGTGATCGTCGATCAGTTCTATTTTGATTGGTTAACTGATTATTATACATCGTTTGGTTTCTAAATTCCTTTTGATGTGTGATTTTCAGGGATCAGACTGTGAAGATATGATGAACAGCAAGAGCAGCCCTGAGAGATGTGGATCATCTTCATCGGACGGTGGTAGTCATTTGATCAAAACTTGTGCTGATTGTGGGACCACTAAAACCCCTCTCTGGAGAGGTGGCCCTGCTGGCCCTAAGGTATCTTTCAATTTTCATTTATTTATTTTTGCTTTTTATTTTCCAAAAAAAACATTTTTAATTATATATAACTTGTAACTTTCTATATATATTATATAAACAATTAGGTCTTATTTTTCCATCTTTTGTCCAAGTACGGTTTACAAAATCTTCAAACATAGATCACTCTTGTCAATTTTTAAAAGAAATTCTCAATTTTTTTTCTAATTTTCTTGATTATTTTATGAATATATATTTTAAAAATCATATAAAATATTTGAAATGGGAAATAGCCCATGATCTAAAATCTTGATTATTTTATTTAAAAATCATATAAAATATTTGAAATGGGAAAAAGCCCATGATCTAAAATCTTGATTATTTGATGAAAATGTGCAGTCTTTATGCAATGCTTGTGGGATCAGAAGCAGAAAGAAGAGAAGAGCACTTTTGGGGCTAACAAAAGATGATAAAAAACAAAAGAAAACAACCACCATGGCTGCTGCTGCCACCTCTACATCCGGCGGAGATAGTCAAACCAGTGGGTTGACCACCAATAAGAGCAGCAGACAGATGGGTGATTTCTGTTTAAAAAGGAAGCTAATGGCACTTGGAACAGAGGTTGTGTTGCAGAGACCAAGATCCACCATTACAAAACAGAGGAGAAAGCTTGGTGAAGTAGAACAAGCTGCACTCTTATTGATGGCATTGTCTTGTGGATCGGTTTACGCATGAAGAAACAATTGATCGCAGTTTCGGTAGTTTCGTATTGTTTTGTTTTTGTTCTGAAGATTGAGGATCAAGAAGAAATTGAGCTTAATTTACGAGAGATGTTGTTTTCTTGACGAACAAAAGATGCATCTTCTTAGGTTGTTCTCTTTGATTCTTAATGATGAAAAGAAGGCTATTTTTATGTTAAATCTATTGTTTGAGGTATGATATTAAGTTACAGCTTTATATGAATTTAGGTTTCAGCATCCAGAGATCAAGGGTTCAAGCTTCTCCATACGTGAGAAGGGTGTGTGAGTTTATTTGTTGCTTTTGTCGTATATAAATATTATATACTTCAAAAAAGAAAAAAAAAGTTACTCAACCCAAGCTTAATAATCTATCAAGTTTGAGTTGATCTTAAGTACAAAATAAAGCTTGTTTTACTCGACGACTCAAGTTTCTTAACCGATTGTAAGCTTAATTAAAATTTTCTAGTCAAGTAGAGCTTACCCATTTAAGCTGAATATGTTATCATGTTTATAAATTATACAATCGAAATACAAGCATTATTGAACTTGAACAAATAAATGAATTGATGGATCTTGAGTTTGAGCAAAAAGAATGAGCTTTTAGAACTTGAATTCCATATTTAGGGGCTGTTTACCAAACGCTTACCCGAGTAAGCGTTTACTAAGTAACATTAACTTACCGGATGAATATAGTAAGGACCAAAGATTTTACCCATTAAGAGCGAAATAAGGACCAAGAACCTTACCTGGTAAGGGAGAGCGACGACTCTTACCACGGTAAGTGCTTACCGGGTAACTTGTTGCATACGATGTTGTTTTGGTGAACTAAAATCTTACCCGGCGATAAACACTTATCGAGTAAGTGTTTGATAAACGGCCCCTTAATATTTTATTTAAATTAGTCAAATGAGCATCGAACTTAAGAGTTCAAACAACAACGTGCTACACACTACTCTACTCGTTAATACCCCTTTAAGCAAGTAGTTTAATTTATAAGAAAGTAGATATCGTCCAAATTGATTGAAATATCTAAATTTTATTCTGTTCATCTATGAAATGTAGGGTTTTACATCATTTTAGAAGGAAACCAACGTAGGAGGGATATATGATGTACTTCGTTTCTTTATGAAAGTTGCACCGATTGTTAAATTTACTATTTTCTTTTCATTAATAACGAAAGCGGTAAAAGTTTAGATACATATGATTTTGTAAAATTATCAAAATCATTACGTTCCAATGCCCCATATATATATATATATATATATATATATATATATATATATATATA